AAACTGAGGGTTCTAGAGGGGAGGGTGGTGGGAGGATGGGTTGGCCTGGTGATGGGTATTGAGGAGGGCATGTTCTGCATGGAGCACTGGGTGTTATGCACAAACAATGAATCATGGAACACTACATCAAAAACTAATGATGTAAAGTATGGTGATTAACATAACATAATAATAAAAGAAAAAAATTACCTTTAAGTTAATATCATAATCTGAGGATATTAATTTTGAATGTGAGAATTGTTCATTGGGAGAGTATGTATTCTTGAAGAAAGAATATAATACAAGGAAGTCCTCATATTTAAATCAGGAAGATACTGAGTGTCCATGGATGTCAGTCTGTCTATATGTGTGTCTTTTTGATTGTCCTTGATATTGGAAGTCGAATGCAAATTTATTTTTGTAAGTAACAGCAGAGATAGACAAGTGATTTATCTATGATTGACTCATTCTGTTTGTGGCAAATCACTTTTGGAAAGTATTTTCAGGGGTTTTGACAAGATAACTGGTTTTAATAGGAACGAGTCAATGACAGGAGTAGTAGAAATCTGTGAGGATGTTTCAAATATTCTGTAGATAAAAAGTATATGGAAGTTGAATTCATTATCATAAAGAGTTCACATAGGTAGGTACAAAATAGCTATATGAATTTTTTCTTTTTATGTCTGCAGTTTACTGGCATATATACCTAGGCCCCTTTTTGTATCTGGTCAAATACAAAAATGTTCTGGTAAATTTTTTTTTAATGTTTTGTTGTGAAGTAGGACTTGAAGTTCCTAGTGAAGCATCTGAGTTACATGGCACCATGTTAGAGATGCATGTTGCTACTGTATAAACCATAAGACAAAACACTGATCAAATGTGTCGGGTACTTTCCTGGGCAAGTGTTTATACAGGAAAAGATTCAGGAAAGAGGGACATTAATTAATCTAGCCCTGAGCAAAAGCTATTTCTGGGTTGAGGATGAGGGAAATCAACAATTACAGTTTGAATTAATATTTATATGGTGATTTTCGCTTGTATTTTCTGATTCCACCTTCAAAGTGCCCTCCTGAGGTAAGTGTTGTTATCTTATTTTACACATGAGGAAACTGGGGGTCAGAAATACTGCCGTCAATCACAGGTGAGCAGGTGAGTTTTACTCAAGTCTTCTGGCTCCATATTCTTTTTTTTTTTTTTTTTAAAGATTTTCTTTATTTATTTGAGAGAGAGAGTGAGAGAGAGAGCACAGACGGGGGAGCGGGAGAGGGAGAAGCAGACTCCCTGCTGAGCAGGGAGCCCGATGCGGGACTCGATCCTGTGACTCCAGGATCATAACCTGAGCCGAAGGCAGTCGCTTAACCAACTGAGCCACCCAGGCGCCCTGGCTCCATATTCTTTTTTTTTTTTTTTTTAAATTTTTTTAAATTCTTATGTTAATCCCCATACATTACATCATTATGGCTCCATATTCTTTATTCTTTCTTTCCATCAAGTGGATACAGAGGCAAAGTGTTAGTCCATACTAAGGGGATCAGCACACGTGTTATGGGAGATGCAAGATCTGAAAGCCTTCAAGGAAATGCAAAATCTAGATGTGTGGAACTAAGGATGTCACACACTGCATGAATGATACATTAACTGGATTCAGCCTGCAGATGAGTTTGGTATGACTAGTCTGGTGTTTTTAAAATGTCTGAATTTGAAGGGCACCTGGGTGACTCAGTTGGTTAAGTGCCTTCGGCTCAGGTCATGATCCCAGGGCCCTGGGATCAAACCCTGCATCAGGCTCCCTGCTCAGCAGGGGAGCCTACTTCTCCTTCTCCCTCTGCCTGCCTCTCTGCCTGCTTGTGCTTTCTCTGTCAAATAGATAAATAAAATCTTTTTAAAAAGTCTGAATTTGAATGCGTTAGGTAGAAAAAGCATTTTCTACTTGTCTCAGTCTCCACTACTCTCCCATCTAACTGCTCTCACTTCTAATATCTGCTCAGACTCTGATGTTCTTTGAATATGCAGTCCTGAGTGGAATGAATCACATGAACAAGAACATGGAGGAAAACATGAAGGTGAACATAGAGAGCAATTTCATCTGGCCTGAGCATAGGTTTTTATCCAGGGAACTTTGGTAGGAAGTTGTTAAGGACCGGATTATGGATGCTGTTTGTCCTACATCTCCCCCCCCCCGCCCCCCTTCCATGAAATCTAGTTTGGATGAGTTGGCCACAGTCCAAGTGAGTAGAAATTATATTGTGATCTATGAGGCTGAGTTCTTAGAAGGGAGGTCCTGAAATTTCAAGCTTAAGTGATGTGGGTCCAATTTCTTGGGACAACACTAATGTAGACAGAACACAAAGTTGTGTTCTGAGCTTGGAAAAGGAATCGTGGTAAGTGATGTAAAGTCCTGAGTGTTGCTCTGAACATTGGCTGATGTTAGTAGTACAATTTTATGGGACACTGGAAGCATGTTGTTTTATTGATAAATGTTTTAAGGGTCAGGGGAAGAGTAGAAAGTGCAGTTTCTTTTCTTTTTTGCATATGTTTAAGATTGTTTCCTGGGATACCTAATTAAGGCAAGTCCCTTTGATTGGATACTTTGTGGGGGGCGTTGCTTCTTTTCTTCCAATGGACTTTTGAGCCTTTGGAGGAGAAATAAGGTTATGAGAAATTACCTATGGGTATCTATATCTGTATTTATATCTAAATCTGGATTTTGAAATCATGGGCTTCTTTTCCACCTCAGGGCCTTTTAACATGCTTTATTTCCTGCATGTAATGTTCTTCTCTAATGGAGAAGATGGAGCTGATTTGTTTTTATTCCTTAAGTTCTTTACCTATCAGCACAACTATCCCTCTATGAGAGATTATCTCTGACCTATCTAAAAAGTAAGTTCCTTCCACCTTTATTCTGTTCTTTATGTGTTGTTATTTTTCACCACAGCATTAATCAACTTATAATTATTTTGTCTACTTACATATTTGTAGTAACATATCCTCATAGTAATGTACCCCACAGTATCCTCAGAGAATGTAAATTTTGTAAGGACAGGGATTATAAATTCAGAATCTATTTCCACAACAGAATGGATCCTCAAATAAGTATTTGCAAATGAATAGATAGTTGGAATAGAATTGAAGAAGAAAATACGATGGGTGTTGATAAGAGAATGTGCCATAGATTCCCATGTCAGATGGAGGGTGTGGAAGATGTTTTTCCATTGTGTATTGTAACAGGAATTTAATGTGTAATAGCAACAGGGGATCTCATATATATATATATATATGATGACAGTTTCATATTGCTGAAGTAGAATATTGATTAATTCTTTAAAAAATTATATAATGAATACATTTTGAGTGTAGAAAGTTTAAATGGCATTTAAAGGCTGTAAAGAGAAAGTAAAACTTCTCCTTCCCTCTAATTCCATTTTCAGTTAATTACTATTAATACATCCTTACATATTTTTCTGGAAATTTTATATGGTATGTATCTGTCATTGGTTTTATTTATCTTTCTATATAATTAGTTATCTCCTTGTTATCTAAACCATTTTGATTATAATAGAAATATGGTTCTGCCATTTGCAATTTTCATTTAATATATCTTGGATATTTTTTCATGTGAATCCAAAAATCTTGTTTAGCGGGGTACCTGGTTGGCTCAGTCACTTAGGCATTTGACTCTTGGTTTTCCACTCAAGTCATGATCTCAGGGTTGTGGGATCAAGCCCCCTGTAGGGCTCTGTGCTCAGTGCAGAGTCGGCTTGTCCCTCTCTCTCTGCCCCTCCCCCAGCTTGCATGCATGCATGCGCGCGCGCGCGCACGCGCACACACACACACACACTCTCTCTCTCTCTCTCTCTCAAATAAATAAATAAAATCTTTTAAAAAATCTAGTTTATATATTTATAGCCACTTCATATCAATATTATATAAAACTTTTTTTCTACAGCTCCATTTTCTCCCTATTCCTTTTTGCTGTGATTTTCATACAAATTTTATCTTTACAATTATATATCCATCAACATAGACTTATAATTATTGCTTTATGCAGATGTCTTTTAAACCAGGAGGAGGAAAAAAGAGTTACAAATGAAGATACATTTATGCCGTCTTTTATATTTGGTCATGTAGTTAACTTACTGGTATTCTTTATTTCTTTATATGATTTTGAATTACTCCCTAATGTCCTATCATTTCAGTTTGAAGAACTCTTCAGTATTTTCTGTAGGGCAGGTTTGCTTCCAATGTATTTTCTCATTTTTTATCTTAATTTGTCCTTAATATTTGAAAGATAGTTTTGCCCAATACAGGATTCTTGGTTGACATTTTCCTTTCTTTTAGCACTATAAATAGGTCATCCCACTATCTTCTAGCTCCTATGATTTCTTATGAGAAATCAGCTGTTAATCTTATTTAGGCTCACTTCTATGTGATCAGTCTCTTCTCTCTTGCTGCTTTCAAGATTCTTTGTCTTTATCTTTTGATTGTTTGATTATGATATGTCTACATGTGGAACTCTTGACTTAACCAACTTGGAGTTCACAGAGCTTCTTGGATGTATAGGTGGTTTTTTTAAAAAAATATTTTCAGCAGAGATAGGATGTTTTGGCTATTAATTCCTTAAATTTGTTTTGTTTTATTTTCTTTAGCTCTCTCTTTTTGTCTCTTCATTTCCTCTTTCTCTTTTCTCTCTCTCTCCCCCATCCTTTTTCCTTTTGGATTCCCATTATGCCTATATCGGTGCACTTGATTATGTTCCACAGGTCTCTGAGGGTTTTTAATTTTTTTTTTTTTTTCTCTTTCTGCTACTCAGACTAGGTAATCTGAATTGACCTGTCTTCAACTTTGCTTTCATCTGTCAGCTCACATCTGCTATTGAGCTCTTCTAAGTGCATTTTAATTTATATTATTGTACTTTTCAACTTAAGAATTTCTGTTTGGTTATTTTTGTAATTTCAATTTCTTTATTGATATTCTTTATTTGGTGAGACATTGCTTTCATACTTTAGTTCAGAACATGGTTTCTTTTCATTCCTTGAAGATATTTTAAATAGCTGATTTAAAATTTTTGTAGTGGGCTGAATGGTGGCTTTGATGATATATTCATGTCCTAATCCTTGGAGCCTGCCTTACATGGCAGAAGAGTAATTTATGGCAAAATATGTGATTAAGTTAAGGATCTTGAGAGGTGGCAGATTATCCTGGATTACCTGGGTTGGCTCTAAATGTAATCACATGCATCCTTATAAGAGATAGGGAGAGGGAGTTTTGAGATACACAAAATAGGAGAAAGCGATGTGAAGATGGAGGCAGGGATTGGAGTGATATAGCCTCAAGCCAAGGAGTGCTGGCAGTCATCAGAAGGTGGAAGAGACAAGGAAAGGAATCTTCCCTAGAGGCTCTGGAGGGAATGTGGTGATACCAGACCCTCAATTTCAGGCTTCTGAGCTCCAGAACTATATGAGAACAAATTTATGTTGCTTAAACCCACCAAGTTCATGATTATATGGCAGCCATAGGAGACTAATCAAGTCTGTCCAGTGAGTCCAATGGCTGGCCTTCCTCAGGGATAGTTTCTGTAGGCTGCTTTTTTTCCCTGTTAATGGCCATAAATTTTGTTTCTTTGCATATTTCATATCTTTGTTGTTGTTGTTGAAAATTGCACATTTAATATAATATTATGTGGCAGGTCTGACTTTTGCTGAGTCCTGGGGATGATGCATGTCAGCCCTGGAGTGCTGATGTCAGCATGGCTCCCAGCTGGGTGACTGGTTCTTACTTTCAGCCTTTGGGCTGCTTGCATCTCTAACAATGTGACCAGGACTCTGTCTAAGGCTTTGGTGGATCTCGGTTCCATCCATCTGGATCTCAGCTTGGACACCGTGCAAGGTTTCATCCTTGCCCCATCAGCCAGTCTGGTGATTTTATATCGAGATGTTGCTCTCCATAGAGATGCTCATTCTGTCGGCCACACAAGTCTATACCATCTTGACTGTCCAGCTCTTTGCATTCTTTTTTTTTTAAATTTATTTGACAGAGAGAGACACAACGAGAGAGGGAACATAAGCAAGGGGAGTGGGAGAGGGAGAAGCAGCTCTTTGCATTCTTAAACCTATGGTAGAAGCAGGCATTTTAGCATATAATTTTGAAAATGCATCTCAGACATTTGATGACCTCCCAGCAAGATTTGGTAATAGACTTCTAGCTGAAGGTTTAAAGGGTTTTTTGATTAACTCGAAGCCAGAGAGTGCCTATGAACCGCTAATGCCTCCACCACTGAAAGACAATTCATCTGGCACTTTCATTGTGTTAATTAGAAGACTTGATTGTAATTTTGATGTAAAGGTTTTAAATTCACAGAGAACAGGTTACAAAGCAGCCATAGCTCACAATGTTGACTCTGATGACCTCATTAGCATCGGATCCAATGACATTGATGTGCTAAATAAAATGGATATTCCATCTGTCATTATTGGGGAATTATCAGCTAATTCCCTGAAAGATGAATTCACATATGAAAAAAGGGGCCACATTATCTTAGTTCTAGAATTTAGTCTTCCTCTGGAATACTACCTAATCCCCTTCTTCTTCTTTTTTTTTTTTTTAAAGATTTTTTAATTTATTTGAGAGAGAGAATGAGAGAGAAAGAGAGCATGAGAGGGGGGAGGGTCAGAGGGCGAAGCAGACTCCCTGCCGAGCAGGGAGCCCGATGCGGGACTCGATCCAGGGACTCCAGGATCATGACCTGAACCGAAGGCAGTCGCTTAACCAACTGAGCCACCCAGGCGCCCCCTAATCCCCTTCTTTATCATAGTGGGCATCTGTCTCATCTTGTCATTTTCATGAAGTAGGTAAATTAATGTTAAATATATTTTAAAAAATAGTATGGATGGTTCTAAAAATCATTGTTTTGAGTGAGAGGAGCCTTACATAAAGGAGTACATATTGTATGCTTCTGCTTATATGGTTGGGTCTGGAAAAGGTAAAGATAATCTGGGTAGAAAAATTGGAGCAGTGAATGCTTCTGGGGGGATAGGAAAGGGTGAGAGATTTACTGGGAAGGGTAGAAGGGACCTTTTTGGGGGTGAGTCGTGTTCTGTATCTTGAAAGAGGTTTAGGTTGCACAAATTTTTGTATACTTAAATTTTGTGCATTTCGTTATATAGAAATTTTACCTAAGGGGAAAAAAAAACTAAAAAAATATTAAACTCTAAGTAATGATATATCTGCTAAAGTATTTGGGGGGACAGATACTGATTATCTGCAACTTACTTTGGAGTGCACTGTAAAAAAATGAAGAGAAAAAGAGGTGTGTATTGATAGGTAGATAGAGGGATGGATAGATAGGTGATAGAGATGCAGTACAATGTTAATTGTAGATTCAAGGTAGTGGATATATGGGTATTATAAACTTTATTCAACTCTTCTCTGTATTTGAAATTTTTCATGTTAAAATGTAAATAAAGAATAGTCTGAGGACTTGAAAAACATATTATGTGGCAAGTCTGGAAATCAGATTCTACTCTCTCTTCAGGATTTGTTGTTGCTGTTTGCCTAATGATTTTTCTGAGCTAAATCTGTAAAGTCTGTATTCTTCATTGTGTGTGACCTCTGTTAGCTGGGTGATCAGTTAACGATTGGACAGAGATTTGCATAAATGCCTGGAACCAATAAGTTTCCCAGTTTCTGCTGAGGAGCTCCGTGTGTGTGCTGGAACATACGTCTTTCACACTCAGCCAGGCAGTTGACAACTCTGCCTTCCTTTTCACTTCTGCTTGCACAGAGCTTCAAGGTCAGTCACAGCTGAGAGCCAGGGTCTTCTCAGCTCTTTTCTGAGCATGTGCACAGCCCTGGGCAAGCGAACAGTCCCATACATGTGAATGGACCTTTTAGATTTCCAGGAATATTTTGATGCTTTTCAAAGCTCCTAATGGACATTTCTTTCATTCCCCAGATTTCCCTTGATAAGCTTTTTGCTTAGTCTTTTGTTTGTCCCGATTGTTAACCATTGCCTCAGTCAGCAGTGATGTTAAACAATTAACAAATGCCCCCAGAGACAAGGCTGTTCACACTGAGGGAACTCCGAGTCAGAGTCAGGTAAAAAGAAGCCTTCCATAAAGGGTGCACTTGTCGTGATGGGCACTGAGTGTTGTACACAGTTGTTGAATCACTATCTTGTACACATGAAACTAATACAACAGTGTATGTTAACTCTATTGGAATTAAAATTAAAAAAAAACTTAATGAAAAAGAAGGCTTCCAAATGGAGTCTTCCAGATAGGTCAAATACTGACAATTATCTGTTAATGAGGCTTTCAAAGTTCCAACCCCATTCTGTATCCTCTAGTGGCTGCTAGACTGCTGGTTTTCACTGTGATTGCAGACTATTGATTTTCAAGGCTACTGTGTAGCTGGGAGGCGGGGGATGGGAACAGGTCAAGTTAAAATGCCATAAACCTCACTGTTCTTACTGTGATTTAGCCGTTCTTCTGAAATAAATGCTCTCTGAATTGCCGCAAGCCTTTGGTTAGTTTTCAGAGTCCTGGAAAGTTGTTATAGACTATTTTTGCCAATGATTTTATTGTTATGTGGAGGAGAGGATTTTTGGGGTCTTTAGCCTTTCTTTCTTTTTTTTTTTTTTTTTGATGTCTCTCCAACATGTGGCTTTTGGATAAAGGGTTTTGTTTTGTTTTTTTTTTTAAAGATTTTATTTATTCATTTTTTGAGAGAATGTGAGCGAGTGCATGAGCCGGGAGGAGGGGCAGAGGCAGAGGTAGAGGGAGAGAGAGAATCCTCAAGCAGACTCCCCACTGAACAGGGAGCCCAGTGCGGGTGATCCCAGAACCCTGGGATCATGCCTGAGCTGAAATCCAGAGTCAGATGCTTAACCTATGGAGCCACCCAGGCGCCCCTTGGGTAAAGTGTTTTTAAAGGTTGGAGGGGAGAGAACTTCACAATAGTTTTGCCTCATGACTTCACTATAGTTTTAGCATGATTTCTTTTTTCTTTCTCTTTCCTTTTTGTAAATCCCTATTTCTGTTTCTTTTTTGAGGTAATGAAGAGTGTGTAGCCTGCCTCCTAAACAGGGAATAGCCAAACGGCGCATCCTTTGAATCAGCCTTTCTGTATTTATGGTTTACCTCTGGAGGGACTAGATGCTCTGCTTTGAAGTGGTATTACTGGCCTTTCCCCCTACCCCCCCATTCCTGTTGGCCTTTCTTTGGGTTGCATCTCATCCCCTAGGTTCTGCTTCATTCCTGATTAGGGGATATCAGTAAGAATTTTCAGAATTTTCTGGATTCAGTTTCTCTCATCTCCACAGTGCTTCTTGACAATAATGAAAGGAGCTGTATGTTGGTATCATTAATCTTAAGTCTCTTGTCTCTGATGGCCCTTATCAACACTTGTGTTATTACTCTCTTCCTCCATTTGCTGCTTGCACATTTTCATTCTTTTTCCTTTTTGTATTTATTTTGTTAGGTTTTGGGGGTAGAGGTTTAGTGATTCAGTTTCTGCTTTGTACTGACTTTTTGAGATGATACAGAATTATTTACTTTAAAATAAATAGTAAATGTCTGTCAAGTGAGAGTTTTGGTTTTAAAAAATAAGTGTATAGCCCTTTCTTTCTGGTTGTAGTTTGTTAGTGAGGTCAGTTGCTTACTGCAGTCACTTCTGGTTTGTGCCTCTGTAACAATGCCATTTCTACGTAGGAGGTACTAATATTTCTTCTCAGTGGGAGGAGTATAGTGGAACGTGTTGAGAAAATGAGGGATAGAATCCATTTTGTTTTAACTCTTTAAATTCAAGTCATTTGATTTTCAAGAGTCAACTCAATTCTTATAATAGTATTATATTGCAGATCTGTATGATCCTGAATGTGGCTGGCTATATAATATATAAATAATAGAAATAGTAGTAGTAGTAGTGGTAGTAATAGTAGTAATGAGAAGCTTTTGATAATACATAAATTGTGTTTTTAGTGCACTTGTGCAAGAATGTTATAAGGCATGTATTATTTAGATTTGTTTGCCCAAGTCTTATAGTATGTTTTTTTTTCACATGGATAAAATATTAAAATGTGAATATGTCATCTTCACAATTTTATGTTCTTTTAAACTCCAGTTCCTTAAAAAAAAAAAAAAAGCCCCATCTACAAAGCATTACCAGTTTTGCTTTTGTAAAAAATGAAACAAAAAACCCCTCCCCACAAGAAACCCCTAAATTTATTGATTGGTCATTCAGAAAAAATTATAAAATTCAGTAATTTCTAAATCAGTGTGATGAGGTTATTTCTATGTCTCAGGAGACTCCCTAGACCCAATGGTGGTGTGCTAATGTGGAGGTAATGAAATTTAATACATTAAGGATTATATTGGCAAGTCCATAATATGTCATTCCCCTGTCTCTCTCACTGTACCAGATATCCTAATTATTAAAAACCACAAACAGACACACAAAAATTCCATCAAACCAGATAACTACATAACATCTGGAAAAATGGTTTTAGTTAAGGAACAAATCAATGAGTGATCTTTTTTTTTCATGTTAATCATTTGTGTTTATATTTATTTTATATTCTTTTCTTTGGACAGTGATTTTATTTTTAAAGATTTATTTATTCATTTTAGAGAGAGAGAAAGAGTGCACATCTGAGGGGAGGGGCAGAGGCAGAGGGGGAGGGAGAGAAGCAGACTCCTCCCTGAGTGTGGAGCCTAACACAGGGCTTGATCCCAGGACCTGGTGGTCAGGACTTTAGCTGAAACCAAGAGTCAGATGCTTAACTGACTGAGCCACCCAGGCGCCCCTGGACAGTTATTTTAGAAGAGGTTGATGAACTGAACTTATTCATGCAACACATCATGCAAGTGCTGCTGATTATATAGACCTGGAGTAAATGTAGGTCCTACCATCAAGGGAGGGATTATCTGTATAACCCTAGAAATTTCTTGAGTTTGGTAATTAAGACATGGACTCTTATTTAATAGTGGTGGTATTATTTTTCAAAAAACACCTAAGATATTTTAAACATAAGCACTGCTCTGTCGTATATTTATTTTCATATGTCCCTGGGTAGCCTGTTTTAAGAGTTTTATGGCATGTGGCTTTTCTGATAGACTGAATACATTTTTCAGGATCTTGCATAATCTAGTGACTCTTAGAATTATGTTGTCAGGAATAGAATTTTATTGCTTGTAGGTTTACTCTTCACATGTTTATACTCTTCATATATTTATGATTAAAAAAGTGAAGAGCTATTTTAAGGTGGAAGGAAGTGAGCTTAGCTCATCTTATGTTGTCCCTTGAGAGAACATCACTCTCAAGGATTTGGCACTTCTACTCCACTTTATTGGATAGGAAGAAGTCATGGGTTACTAGTCTCAGTCAGTTTCTCCATTTTATGGAAAAGAATACTTCCCAAGTGTTTAGAAAGGAGCACGTGAAAGAAGATACAAAGCTTTGGCTTTGTGTCTAAGATCATACCTTTAACTCATAATTAGAGCGCTAATGATAATGGCTTATGGGGATGTAGTGAGGAATAAAGTGTTACAGCTTATTAAATCTACTATATTTGTGTTAATTCAGATATATTCATGAGATAAAGAAACCAGTAAGTTTAATGTTCATATCAAGTTGAGCATTTCTTTTTTTTTTTTTTTTTTAAAGATTTTTATTTTTATTTGTTTGAGACAGAGAATGAGAGACAGAGAGCATGAAAGGGAGGAGGGTCAGAGGGAGAAGCAGACTCCCTGCTGAGCAGGGAGCCCGATGCGGGACTCGATCCTGGGACTCCAGGATCATGACCTGAGCCGAAGGCAGTCACTTAACCAACTGAGCCACCCAGGCGC